TTATTTTTTTACCTTGTGTGGATACTCCTTTGGCTTTGTCATTTCTGGAAGCTACCTGTTCCTCGATGAGTTTAGTGAGGTTATGAATTTGTTCCTCCATGATTTTCAATCTTTTCTTTGTGCTATTGTGTTCTCCATCACGATCGTGTGATCTTGATCGAGAGCGTTTCTTCGGTTTTCCCATTTGGGTGAACGATCGCTGTAATTTTATGTATCTTGAAGTAAAATATGTAGTTTGAAGCTCAAAGCGTCTGTAGTTGACCGCACAACAAAACAATATGAGGACACCAGAGGAACGCACGTAAGAGGGCGCCTACGCGCGGGAGAAAGTTCTCATTTTAAAAAAAAAAAAAAACTCTAAATGTGTAGTTGGCCGAGCACTTGACAGTACTACATGTTAACTATCATCGAGAACGAGACGCATAGTATAATTTAAAGTTTAATGACATTTTTAATCATCCAGACGTGAAAATCATCGATGAAGTGACGATGTGTCATTTTTTAGAAAAAATGATTTTTAGATTGTGACGAAATTCCAGGCGAATTCGTCGCCTGCGGAACTCCAGGGTATTTATGGATTAAAAGAGAGAAAGCGAGAGAGAGAGAGAGAGAGAGAGAGAGAGAGAGAGAGAGAGAGAGAGAGAGAGAGAGAGAGAGGGGGAGAGGGAGAGATAGAGCGAGAAAGAGAGAGAGAGAGAGTAAAAATTTATAAACCGTTACCTTTTCTTCGCAATAAAAATCTATACGGAAAATTAGAGCTACCTGCTACCTTCACTCTACTTCAGAGCTACCTTAAGTTCGGAGAATTACTTAAATTGGTTACCTATCGCGTGAATCGATTCCCTAAATTTTTAGAATAATATTCATTAAATAACTTCATTAAATAAACCAGATATTTTGCAGATATTTCTTTTGAGTCAGTTGTGTTGAGTTAAAGTTTAGTATTTTTGAGATTTTCCTACGTAAATTCGGTTAAGGATCAGGATATCACCGTGGAATATTTGGCCAAGATAATGTGCTACCTAGTGTTTCCTGTAATCCTTTTGGTTTGTCGATAAAGTGAGTACATAGGTCGAGTTGAAATGGTTGCGCTCCCTTAAGCGAGAGTGTTAGGGCTTTCAGTTGAAAGGCCGTGGAGACGATTGCCCAGTCGTCGAAACGGATCGTCATTGGGTTTTTAGTATAGTTAAGTTGCGTTTGCGTTTGAGTTTTCGTTGATAAAGTCCTAATTCTTCTCCGGAGAGTGCCCTCTGTAGATAAGCTACCTTATTCCGGTCGTAGATGGAGTAAAGATCCGCTCAGCCATCTCAGTTTCACATTGAGTTCAAGTAATTACAGTTTTGTTCAGTTAAAATAATTAGAATCAATTATAGGAAAATTCAAATTTAAATCTTTAAATATTTCGCGCACAATTACCCCGGGAATCGATAGTTCGCATCTCCAACACGCGAGTCAGTATCGTACGGGGCTAGTCTCCCCCAGACTCCCCACCACTACGCAACAGGCCCGAGCGGACACACGCGATAGTCGCCATTACAGTATCCACCCGGACGACCAAGAGTGAGGTACGAGTCGATTTAGCTCCCTGAACAACTTCTCTTCCGAGGTAATTATCGAGGCCCCGTGACCAAAATTTCGTCGAATTCAATGCTCCAGACCATGGTAAGTACTCGTGTACTTATTTAGGAGTGATTAAAAGTGAATTAGTGCGGTTTTTCGAAAAGGAAATTGGACCACGTGGGATAGCGTCGCTACCTTGCGACAGGACGCCAGCGTCGACATACATGGATTGAGGGGTAGAAAACCCTTCAAACGAACCCAAATGCTCCCTGGAAGCTACTTGAAATTATCTAATTAATAATTATGCTACCTGAATAAATCAAAATAGTAATAATGCTACCTACTATAACGTTTGTGCAAAAATTCATGCTTTATGCGTCTCGCTACGGCGATTGATGCACATTGACCTGCTTCATTGCTACCTTTTTTGCTTGCTACCTTTTCTCGCTCTCTTTACGTAATTATTCTACGCTACCTATTTCTTTTTTTATTTCTCCAACTCAGAAGAGTTTTGGATGAAAAATTAGGTTACCTGAATTGTTCTTAAGCTACCTTTTACGCATTTTAATGCTCTCTAGCGTTCGTTGAGTTTTGGATTCCGGTTGAGCATGGGGACGCTATCTTTTTAGTTATCTTTACTTTTATGGTTGGAATCCAGAACAATAAAATTTTCTACGCTCTCTTGCGGTAATGAATAAGCTACCTATTATTTTAGAAATCATTTGAGACGGTAAACTACCTATTTGCATGGAGAAAACCTCCATTTCCGGGTTAGAAATGCTCCCTTCCGGTGGATCAGACGCGTGGCTGATTCAAGCTTCCTATCTCATTTTGCTACCTTTTCGGTGGATGAGATCCCCGATGTTAATGCATTGCGAATGACGTAAAAATTAAGAAAACTATTACCAAGGCGCTCCAGAATTCAGAATTCGATTAATTACAGTCGAAAATACGAAAAATTAGTACCTTTTCGTGAGCTCTCTTCTTTATTTCGCGTAGCTACCTCATCCGTTCTCTCTCGCATGCACGCTACCTTGCTATAGTCTCTCTCTCTCTCTCTCTCTCTCTCTCTCTCTCTCTCTCTCTCTCTCTCTCTCTCGGATTCGTGTTCCCCTCGTGGACAATACTTTTGCTTCTCTCTATCAGCTTTGGATTGGGATAGCTTTCTTTTTCATACTTAAAATTATTATTCGCATATTTTCCAGTCTTTTGGAGTTTAATGGATCATTTCAGGATATTTAAAAATATTTTGAGTCACATTGAGTCTTTTTGGTTTATTTTTGTATTTGTACGAATTTACGATTTTGGATTATCTCGGCAATAGCGAAACACGTCAGTACAATTACGTTTTATTATTCAATATTGACCTTACCTATCCCGTTTAGAATTTAAGACATTAGTTTATTGAAATCTTTGGCTTCCGGATGGATGCCGCGTTTGGATTCAGCGTTGCGCCGACGTTTCGCAAACATTGCAGGGGGCCTATTCTCGAGTCGGGTGAGTTAGTTTCCACCGGTGGAACTAGCGCCGTTCACATTAGTCGTGTGGAAATCGGAAAGTTCACACATGACGTCAGATCCACCGGTGAAGTGGGCCGACGGACGGATCTGTCGTTGCGTTCACCCATCGACTCCACCGGCGGATTTGAATTCACATTCACCCATCGTTTTGTGTGATTCACCCGTGAAGAGTTTCGTATGAGGAGTGTCATTTAACCTCTTCTGAGGAATAAAGCATTTATTTATTTATTTGGTAACAACAAATAATGGATAATTTAAGGCGGTATTTATATTATGATGTTTTTCGGAATTTTGAGCCGGGTGGAGACGACGATCACCGTCCTCGACTTTTTCACGATGCTGTGGACCCCTTTGAAGAGCTCTCAAATGATAATTTTATCAAAGTTTATCGATTGACTAAAGAGAGAGTATCTCAAATAATTGACATTGTGGCTCATTATGAACCTGCTCCAAGTAGGCGGTCAGCATTGGACGTACGTACTAAAGTAAGTAGTCGAATCATAATCGATAACGTAAAATCTTTCTTTTTAAGAATTATTTATACCTTTGAGAGAGATAGCAAAATTTGCATAAGAAGCTTTTTTGTAGAGCGAAGTCACATACACATAGAAGATTTTGATTAAAATTTCAATACGTCAATTGGATTCAGAGATATCTTTGAAAAACCCAGCTAGAAGAAGGGTTGATTGGTTATGGAGCTGTTTTTGGAGTTCTAAAAAATATCTCTGAATGTAACAGTGATATTGAAATGTTGATAAGGACCTTTTTTGTGGAGTGAAAAGAGATCTACAAATAAAGTCCTTACTTAATTTTTGTATCTCTGTTAGATGCCGTGGTGTTGCTCAAAAACCGAGCTGGATAGAGTGACTTGAGACGGATTATCACTTTACTGCTGAATTTACTTTTTTTTTTTATTACTAATAACTCATTGATTTGGTATTCTTAGGTGCTCACAGCATTAAGATTTTTTGCAACTGGAAGTTACCAATTAGATGTTGGATTGGGTCGATATTCAGCTGTTAGTCAGCCCTCAGTGAGTAGATCCATTCATACAGTCATCGACGTTTTCAATCGAAATGAAATATTTGCGGAATATGTCAGATTCTACAGAAATATTGAAGAAGTTCGGGCATCTCGTGATAGGTGAATACCAGTCTCATTTAATATTGTGGTTGCTGTTGTTTTTCTATACTCCATGATTTGATTACTTGTAGGTTCTGGCGTCGATTCCAGTTTCCCAATGCAATCGGTTGCATTGATGGGACCCACGTGGCAATTGTCCCTCCCAAAATTAATGACCCAGTTCATCCTGAGAATGTGTACGTAAACCGCAAAGGGTATCACTCATTGAACGTGCAATTGGTAAGTCAAGTGATAGGCAAAAAAAGTTTATGAAACAGACTTGGAGTTTATGGTTCTCTAACGATTGCATTATCCCTCGCACGATAGATATGTGATGCTGAATTCAAAATTCTCAACGTCAATGCCAGATATCCCGGGAGTGCCAACGATTGTGCTATTTGGAATGACAGCAATATTCAACCGTTGATGCGAAGATTGCATAATTATCGCAATGAACGATTCTACTTGCTCGGTAACATCTGCTGTATTTGCATTCTCTCTTACACTTGAGATATTTAATTTAACGAATTTAATGGTTGAATAATTTGTAGGAGATGCAGGGTACCCCTTACGTCCATGGCTCATGACACCATTCAGGGATCCATTGGACAATTCACCTGAAGCCGCTTTCAATCGTGTCTTTTGTCGAGCAAGATCAATTATTGAACGTGTCAATGGAATTCTCAAGATGAGATGGCGTTGTCTCTTGAAACACCGGGTTCTTCATTACGACCCAACAACTGCAGCCAAAATTACCAACACTTGCGTGGTTCTCCACAATATGGCTATCATGGATGGCCTCAGATTCCCAGCAGGAGAAGACGACCCATATGTAGGCAACGAGGATTACGGCATGATGGACGATGAAGTACTTGATGAGATGAATATGCTTAGAAGACGTGTTAATCCCGAATTAGCAGCTGGTCGAAGTCTTCGAGATCGCATTGTTCGACGATGGTTTACGTGAGAATAGAAGCGAAAATTTTCAGTGTAAAAAACGTCCAAAGAGAGCCACGTGGACTTTTGAAGAAGAGAGAATATGGGAACAGAATAAATGAAAATATTCACGCAAAAATAATATGTATTTTTTTAAACCAATGAAAACAAATGTGCATATAATGCTTATCATATAGTAAGAATTTAGTGCGCTATCACACGTACCTACAGATATATTTGCACTTGTTTACTTCATTTCTTTTGGCTTCCAATAGTCAAATCCTTCTCATAGTACTAATGGTAGAAGAGCGTGGGACAAAATTTACTTTTTTTGTCGATTCAAATTCCCAATAGCTCTCTTCATCCACAGAGATATTGGGAATTTGAGTCTATAAAAATAGTCCATTTTGACCCACCTCCCCCTACTTCTTGTATAATTTTTCATCTGTTAAGAATAAACACAGCCTCTTTAGAGCACGTCGTAATTTTTCCTCGCACTCCTATGGCGTTTTTTATTTTATAACGTTGTACTTGCCAGTTAATAATTATTTAACTTATAATTATTTGAACTTTCAAAGTTTTACATATCACTTTTCTATAATCTAGGAACAAATGAGTAGTGGAGTGGAGACCTGTCAATCGCCAATTTTTGATACATAATTGAATATGGAATTTCATCGATCATTTAAGGAGAAAATAGTAATACAAATTTTACTCACCAAAAATAAATGACTTTTTGCTATTATCGTAACTTATTTGGTATCGAGAGAATTATGAAAAATGTCGAGCTGACTTCTTGATAATTTATTTATCGAATACACACTCGGGTGTTTAATAATGTTAAGTCACCTTTTTTGATGATAATTCATGCACCAATTAACCATTTTTCTTCGTCGATTATGCTGTATATGCTTGTTTGAATGTTTAACTAAAAAATTGAGAATTGAAAAGTCGTTGAAATTATTTTATGACAGGTCACCACTGGACTAGTAAACAAAAACGATGAGTATTGCAAAAAAAGAGTGTGATGAAAAATCACCATGGGTGATACACGAGCTTGTTGGCAATATTGCGTAGAACTCTTGACTGCATAGCATTGGCTCGAGAATTTTTGGCAGTGTGGTATAACTTTTGGTGATAGTATTTCTTCTTCAACTCCAATTCCTCATTAGATAGAGCGATGATGTTCTCCGAATTACGGAGCGCAGAATTTTGACGATGGACTGCCATTGACCTCTTGCCATTGGAAAATGCTGAAAAAAAAGAATATTATGATTTGCTACAATCATAGTTGCTAAAAAAATAAACTGCTTACCTGAAGTTTCGTTTTTGAAATTAAGAGCGTAAGGATTAAATAGAGAGCCTGGCGGGCGATTCTGCTCTTCACCTGCTGCAGTTGTCTCACTCTCTGATTTAATGGATGGAGTCTCTGTACTTGACACTTGCAGTTCTTTCTTTGGCTCAACTTTTGCCATTGGAGCATCAGTCAGTACCATTGAGCCCTCAGTCTTTGGAATCGAAACAATTGCGATTGGTGTAAAGTCATCAGTTTCATACTTCTCAATAGTCCCACCCTCGTGCTCCTTCAAATCTCCAGATTGCTCAAGATCAAGAAAAAAGTCCTCTGTCAACTTCTTTCTATCAATTAATGGCAGTTGTCTATCCTTGTCCTCATCTTCACCCGTCAAAATATTGAGTTCTTTAGAGTCCTCCAGCAAATTGGCCAAGTCATTGAAGTCTTTAGAACATTCAGCCTTAGTAGTCTCATCTTCCTATCATCAAAACGTTTGAAATCATGAGTGATCGCAAGGCCACTAATTACTGAAGAACATCATATTCACCATAAAAAAAGCAGGTGATTCTTCAATTTCCTGATTCCCAATTGCTCCTACTTTTGGAACTAGGACTGCTAATTGCTGGTCTTCTTCGGGTGAAATCTCGATATTGCTGGGAGGGCCTCCACCAGTTTGCCTTAAACTGCGATTATTAGAAGCCACTTTTTGTTTAATCAGTCGTAGTTTGTCTCGTAGTGTCTGTCAATGATAATGAAATTGATTAATTGAGTATTGCAAAGGATATAAAAAATAATGTTTTTTTTTTTCATAAAAATTATGATTTTGAACAATAAAATAATATTATGATATTTTTGTCAGCCTCTACTCCATTTCCTTGTCCAGTTGTCTCTCAATTACGCATATTCCATCGGTAATTATTTTTTTTGCATAAATGCATAAAAAATCTTCCAGCAAGAGAATGGCCAATGGAATATTTTTCAATTTAAGGGAGATAGCCACATTTTCATAAGTACCTCTTTTATGGATCTCACTCTCCTCTACAAACAATATTGTGATAAAAATTTCACTATC